GAGAATGACAGTTGCGCCCTCCGGCTCCTCCGGGCGCCGGGAGCCGCCTGCGGCGGGCTCGGTGCCGCGATCGCCGGCCGGGTGAACGCGCGGGGCGGGACTAGGGCTGTGCGCATCCTGGGCTGTCAAGTCCAGCCTGTGCCCGGGGGGAGGGGGCGTCCCCAGGGCTGCAGGCTTGGGTGGGGGCGTCGACGGGCCAGCCTAGGTTCCGAGAACGAATCGAGGACCGTGACGAGTGCGATGTTCGCGCCGGCTAACCTTTCCCTTGGTGTTCGGTTGCTGTTCCAGGCCGGCGCGGTGAACAAGCAGGGCGACAGCATTCTGTGCCGCTGAGCCGCGCTGTCCAGGTGAGCGCGCGTTTCCCTTTTCGAGTGGCTGGTCACCGGAGACGCCGGTGTCCGGGGGTTTCCGCTGCCAGCCACAGTAGTGTTCCTTGCCCCCAGCATTTCTGAAGGCAAATTCCCAAGGAGGCGGACACCCCCCCTCCCCGCCACCGCCACCCAGTTAGTAAGTGAACCGGTACTTAGCTTTATTTAGTATCTTGGGAATTCACTCGAAATGGGACGGATCAGCTCATGCCCCCGCCGCCCCCCGGTGACCGGAGGGCTCTAACAGCCCTTCTTCCCGCCGCCGAAGGAGGGTCACCTCGTGGGCGTGGTGCCCAATGTGCCCCCGCGCAGTCTGACACCCACCAAAGAGGACGCAGGCAGGGCCCGGGGGTGGGTTCCCTATACGGGCTTCCCGGGGGCCCGCAGCTGCCTGGCCGGGCCGCGGACCGCGGGTGTAGTCTGACCTGGTGGTTTGTTTTGGGTTGTTGATCAAGCATGTCTTGAGTTTGGTCGGTGGCGCCAGTTAGTCTGCAGCGGGAAGGTTCACACACCCCCTCTATTCATTCCTCTTCCACAGGTGTGCGGCCGCCTGAGCCCGAGCCAGGAGCACTAGAAAGGGAGGGGGAAGAGCAGAAGTTAGAGAAAAAGCCAGCGGAGGAAAGGAAAAAAAAATCAGCAAATCCTAGAAACGTCTCATTCTTCATTCCAAGAGAGAGAGAGGGAAGAAAAATAAAAGTTTCATCTTTTTTTTTTGCACGTTCATAAACATTCTACATACGTATTCTCTTTTGTCTCTTCATTTATAACCGCTGTGAATTGTACATTTCTGTGTTTTTTGGAGGTGCAGTTAAACTTTTAAGCTTAAGTGTGACAGGACTGATAAATAGGAGATCACGAGTAAAACCGACTTTAGAAACCTACTTTGTGACCAAGGAGCTCAATTTTTGTTTTGAAGCTTTACTAATATACCAGAGCATTGTAGATATTTTTTTTGACATCTATTGTTTAAAATAGATGATTATAAGGGGGCAGGGAACTTTCTTTTCCCTGCAAGAATGTTACATATTGTATAGATAACTGAGTGACATTTCATACCATGTATATATAGAGATGTTCTATAAGTGTGAGAAAGTATATGCTTTAATAGACTACTGTAATTATAAGATATTTTTAATTAAATATTTTTTGTAAATATTATGTGTGTGTTTTTTTTAATCATGCAAATATTTCTTTTGGAAAATTATTTTTCAGCTCAGTTGAAGAGCTCTTGATATCTTGAATGTCTTTTCTGTTTGGCCTGGCTTTTAATTTGTTTTTGTTTTGCCCAGTGTCTTGTAGACTCGGAAGTAACAGTTATAGCTAGTGGTCTTGCATGACTGCATGAGATGTTTAATCACAAAATAAACTTGTTCTGAGTCCATTCAGATGTGTTTTCTTTAACCTAGATTGAAATCTTTGTATTTGAAGCATACACGTTGAAAATATGCTCTATCAGTTTTTACGTACAGGGTTTGATAGTGTAATATATAAAGAGTAAGTGTTTGTTTTTCATTTCTTAACTGAGGTCAACATGGATTCTGAATGATTTTGCATATGGGATGGGGAAATGTTTGGATCCTTATGAGCTTATGAAATCTACTGTTTTATCAAAGTGAAAAAAATGCTTATCATTCTTCATTTTACACTGAAGTTTAATGTCACTAAGTTTCATGTCTGTACAGATTATTTAAATCATAAGAATGAAAAATGTTCTCTGCTTGCTACCAAAGGACAAACTCTTGGAAATGAACACTTTCTGCTTTCCTTCCTCCAAAGAATATTAATAGGCAACAGTGAGAGAAAAAAAAATCTGAAAGGCATAATGGCAAATCCTTCAAGCAGGGATAAAAGTCGATCTTCAAACATTAACTTAAGTAGACCAAAAATTCTGATGACCGCATCTAGATTATTTTTTTATAAAAATGATTTTCACTATAGCTATGTTAGTTAACCGCTAAACTACTGTCCAATCTCTTGTGATGTGTAACTTTTACATGTGAATATTAAAGTAGATTTATCTGTCTTGTACTGTGATTTCTGGTCTCATTTCTTCAAACCTTACACTTACTTTTGAGACTTTATTTTGTCTTTAAGGAAGGTACCATTTTGTAGGTTAGACAGGACCATCAGGGCTTGTGAACATTTTGAATTTAATGTGATCAGGACTCTACACACCAGTTAGATGGAATTTTTAGAGTGTGAGAGAATTAAGTAGGATTTAATTGGGTGCTTTGTAAATAGTTAGTCAACTGTGTGTGTAACGTGGTCTGTTTGATTTTTAAAAGGAAAGGATTTGTTTCAGATTATACAAGAATAAAAGTATTATAGACCCAAGGGAATTTTTATGAGGTCGAAGTCAAATATTTATGTGAATATGAAATATCATGGCCCTGAGTAGTCAGTCGAAGTAGCAACGTCTCAACAGAAATGAACAAAGTTAACGCTTACTGGTTTAAAAAAAAAATTGAAAGATTTTAAAAATCTATCCCCTCTCTCCAGCATGTTCTCCCCTCGGCTTTGACATTTCACTGGTCTTAGGTATTTTTAGAATTTGATGTATTTGCTGTTGCGCCTTCTAAAGTCAAAGGGCTGCTTGTTTAGATGAGGTTTTATTTTTATTTTTGATATTCATTCCTGTCACACATCAAGAGGAAAACACAAGAACACTGCTGGAATTCCAAATCTGAAGAATTCTAATGATGGCATTCTTTGTTAATAAGAAAGGGGACAATTCCTCCTTTTTATTTGGCAGTTTAATTTCAGTAGGAAGCAAGTCACATGGGCTCTGTTGGTTGGAGTCAGGCATCTGTCAGACCTGACTACCGTACCCTACCTAAGCCTTTAAGCACAGTTTAAACTTATGCTGGGAGATTATGCACCTCAATATAAATATTTTTGATTTTTTGAAGATAGGTGTTGCTCCTTAGTTAATTTCATATTTTAGGCATGAAAACCACTAAAGGAAGAAAAGTGCTAGAGATGTGACATTTGAGAGACTTGGCATTTTCCCATCTGCCACTCACACAGCATTGGATGTCTCTAAAGAAACAAAGTCACTGTTTATTTTTCAAAAATTATGTGCAGTTGTATAAGATAACACATTCTATTAGATGTTGGCTGTGTCCTAATCAAGTGACCAGATAACAAAAACATTTTGAGTCATTTATCTAGGTAGCTCTAATTATTCAGATCTTTGGTTTCATAGAGGAAAACATCCTGACTTCTCTCATTTAATTTGTCCACTTTTATTGAATAGGCACAACCAAAGAGTGAGAATCATTTAAAACCGTCAAAGGAAAAAAAAAGTATCTCATGGTGGCATGTTGTTCCTAATGTGGTTCCATTAAATCCTGAACATCTCAGGCATTTCATGTTAAAGGAAGGGGAAAAAAACCTTTTCATTTCAAAGAACTAATATACTTTGATACTGTGTAAATCTTATTCAAGTTTATTGTCAAACTTTAACTGAATTTTTAGAACTTTTAAAAAATTTGACCCCATAATCTATTGTATTAAACACCTTCTATAATAATAAATCTTCACTGAGCAAAGGGTTCTAAGTTTGTGGTTTTTAATTGACTTCTACTGAGTTATGCAATTTTTCATTATCAAGAGTGGGTCTCATGATGGATCACCTCAATTATTTACAGTGTTTCTTACCATGTGATGAAAAATGTGGCTTGAAAATGGTGATATGAACGGAAAGAAAATCTAGTTTGAATGCTAGGGAAATCTTGTCTACTCTTTGGTGTCTGCTAGGAGAGGAAGGAAGAATCCTAAGAAGACAGCAGGATGATGTCCAGGGGAACTAGACCCCCCCACCCCGCCGCGTGCACACACACAGACACACAGGCACACATACAGACACATATATGCACATGCACACACAAACATACACATACACACATACACCTACACACACACACACAACTAAGTAAATAATACAGACAGAAAGCAATTATTTCACAGTAGTTTAGAGCCAAATAAAACTGGCTCTGCCTTTCTAGCTAGTGCACTTTAATTATATATATGTTAATCAGCCCAGATAGCCCTTGGGTCTCAACAGGGCCAAACACCAACCCCTCCAGGCTTTTGAAGAAGAAAAAGCTACCCTTTGCTGCATTGCAAGTCTAGGAAATTAATTTACCCACCTCAGAATTAATCTTAGCAGGGCTGCCCTCAGTAGGTACTCTTCAGATCCAGATGATTTCTTTCAGTTACGACCCATGACATTTTGCTAAAATACTAATTATATTAATTAGAACCATTGCCCATAAGGTTTAAAAATTGTAATTTTACTTAGAGTTCTACCTTGAGCAGTGATGCAATAGACACTTGAAAATATAAAGAAAATTCTTACAAAAGGGAACTAATTTGACGGATGGCAGTCATATGAACTTAACTGAAAATACTTTCAAATTTTTAATGAATTCTAAAAGTGTGTTTTGCATTCAAGTGCCTTCTTCCTAGTGATTTATATCCTGGCCTGTTCTAAAAGTTTCACTTAAGTGTTAAACTCAATTCTGAGCCACGTTGCCAAAGGTTTTCTGTATTCACCCTAGCCAAGCAATTTGGTAGTCAGCTGCTGAAGTGGGTTCCGTCACTAAGTCTCCACAGTAAATTCGCACATGGGACGTGAAAAAAGGGCCATAAAAATTGAAGTTAATTTGAAAAGCCCCTTTCAATCCATAAAAGAGTAAACACATCAGTTTCTAGAGGAGAAAAGACCAAACTGTGTTACCTGCATCCCACTGGCTAAAATGTGATTAGAGGAATTGAACCTAAAATGCTTAAATAAAGAGACCAAAGATGGATTTTCTATATGAATCCACTTGTATCTGAATTTTTTTCCAACAAGAAATCTCATACTTTAAAAAGGGATTTTCTAAGATATTACAAAAGTGTTGGCAAAAATATGCAAATTCCTAGTGAAACAAGACACCATTATTTGCTTTAAATTACCGTTTCTCAATTTGCTGTGATATAAAGTGCCTACCAGCACATTGAGCATACATATTAAATTCAAATTCTAAAATTTTACCTATTCTAAAGTTTAAAGGAAAATACTGCAGTCCTACAGTTATTCTTTGTGCAAATTCATATATTTAAAAATGTTTCTTAAATATTTACTTAAATGTTTTAAATATTTTCTTAAATATTTGAAGCATTTTCTTAAATATTTACTACACATTTCATAAGCTTTAGCAGTCAGTTGAAGAGTCTGTAGCTGTGTGTGTATGTGTATTTACCTAAAAATAGTTAACCAACACACAGGAAAATATCTTTGAAAAAGGAGTTTCTCTCTAAAAAAAATAAGTAAGCTGTTTTAACATTCCTCCATTCTCTCTGCACTTTAATTCCTGAGACTAGAGATTTCCATGCAGATGTACCCTCCATTTTTTTTTTTAGATTGCTATAAGTCAGCCACGTTATGTTTAAGCATAAAGCAAGATAAAAAAAAAAGAAAGAACAAGCAGATCATTCATGTTTAGCATATTCTAGAATTTGGTTTAATCTCATAAGTAACCTGAAGAAAAAAAGAAAGAGAGAGGGATGCACTTATATGTCAAACCTCAGAGAAAGCCAGAGAAACAGACCTGAACTTGTAGACATCAATTTTACACTTTACTTCAGCAAGAATTCTTAGAAACGCTTCTCACGCATGTTGAACCTGAGTCCGTGGCCTTAATGAAAACAACGTAGCCTCCTTAAAATAGAAGACTATGCGTGATTCTTCTGTGCATGTCCTACAGTGCTTAACCCGGGCCTGGGAAAATACTTGTTGCACTGAATTAAGACTATTCCCTTAACAAAGTATCTTCCCAGTGCCCTCAGTTACTCCTTTGCCCCTTCCTCTGCACTGACTCACAATTAAGCTTCAGACCAATGTATCGAACTGCTGCCTGGTCCTCTCTGCCTCTGAAGTGCAGTAGATTTGAAACAGCATCTTATGGTGTCTGCAAACCTGTCACCGTTCTGATTTCTCACAGTTCTGGAGGCTGGGAAGTCCAAGATCAGGGTGCCAGCCAATTCGGTTCCTAGAAGTCACGGCCATTGCTGGGTGAGCATAGTGCTCTTCAGATCCCCACAGTCCCATGGGCGTGTGGCTTCCTCCTTGGAGCTGCACCATGAGATGCAAAAAGAACTCAGAGCTAAGCAAGGTCCTCTTCCTGCCCTGGTTACCTGGATGTAAGGATCCTTCAACTCTCATTTCCCACTGGTCCTCTCTCTTCTTTACTTCTGGCTGCCTTCAAGCACCCCGTTTATGCTTTAGCTGTACTGAAGATCTCATCCTGTGGATGCTAGATGGCAAAGCAGGCTTTTCTCTCCAGGCTTGACAGAGTATGATGGATCTCTGAGTATTAAGGAAAGTGTGGGCTCACGAAGGACACACGTGGAACGTGAGGGTGGAGGTAGGGGCACCTGTCCAGCCAGCTGAGCCAACTAAGTCAACTTGCCCATCTGTGGGTAAGGGCTGACCTATCCACATCCCAAATGGCATGCTTTTTCATGCTCCCCTTCTTTTGAACATGGTGTTACCCCTGTCTGGATCCCATGACCCCCACTCCCAGTCTATACTGTTGTTGGATTCCTCACTATCCTTTAAGACCCAACTGTCACCTCTTCTGCAAGAATTATACGATGCTTCTCCTCCTCACCCCCCCAAACAGTCAACACACCCCTCATGCTATGTAAAATTGTTTGCACATGTCCGTGTTTCCTGTGGCTTCCTGAGCCCCCAGGGACTCCAGACCACAAAGTACGAGAAGAACATTCCTGTAACTCTCTGTGCCAGCAAATCTAGAAATTCTTTGCAACTCAACAGTGCAGTTGAGAGATTTTCATTATCTTTCAAAGTCTTTGGCTGCCTTAAACATGGACAACAGATAAGCTGTGCGTCTTGAGAATGAGGGAGTTAAGGTCAGCCTTGGGTGAAGAGGGTTGGAGGGAGAGATTGAGAAAGGAAAAGAGAGGCAGAACAGATCCTATATCTCCAAGAAAGAAACATTTCTGCCCCAAGTTGGGATACGTAAACAAAGACGCTTCAGTGCCAGAAATGGAAATGCAGGGCAAGGAGGGATGACTGCACAGGCGTAGATGTGATGGGCCTGGGCTGTGAGCTGCAGGCAGGGGCCACTCAAGAAGACTGTACCATCAGGTCCCTGTATGTGTCTTAGGCTTCTGTTCTCTGCACCTGGTGACATGGTGTGGGATAAATCAGCTGCAAGAAATGCAGCGAATCCTCATGAGGCAGTTCTGAAAGAACAGGTTTGCTACCTGAATGGGATAAACTCTTCCAGATGGATGTTTTAGAACCCCTGACTATGATCTGGGGCCCTGGAAGTGAAATTGTATGATTAGTAACCTGGAATATGTCTGGTAACATTCCCCTCATTTTCCAGTGAAGGAGACACAAGCCTAAAAGGTGGACGGTGGAGTCAGGTCTAGACCCAGGTTTCTCATTCTCTAATCCAGACCCACAGCCTCAGTCTGGATGGACTCAGTTCCAGTTTTCTCTTAGGAGGTTTATCTCAGTTCATATTCGCATCTATAATGTGCCTCATGTTCCTTCCTTGAGAAGGTGGGGTCCAAATCCTAAGCAAACAATCACTAAATGCAGGCCTGAGCTGACTGCCTTTTTAAAAAGGAAACAGAGAGAAATTGCTTTTACAGTAAGGATCAAGTGTTTCAAAGCTCTTTGACAAAGGAGCAAAGACAGTTCCATGAGGAAGGAGTAGTCCTTTCCACAAATGATGCTGGAACAACTGAATGTCCATGTGCCAAAAAAATGAACTTAAGCCCAGAGCTTACACCTTTCATAAAGATTAACTCGAAATGTATCATAGACCGAAATGTAATATGAAAAACTATAAAAGTTCTGGAAGAAAACTTAGGAGGAAATCTATGTGACTTTGGGTTTGGTGATGAATTTTTAGACACAGCACCAAAAACATGAAAGAATTTGAACCCTATGTTATCCTCCACTGTTGCATCCTCCACATCCAATCAATGGAGGCAGCGTGGTGTAGGGAGGGGTCACGGACTATCGGCCAAGTCAAAAGACTTGGGTGCTAGAGCTCTGCATTTAATTAGCTGTGTCCCTCAGGCAAGTAACTTTTCCATGTTCCAACTGCCTCATCTGTAAAATGAGTGTGTGATAATAATTACCTGGCACAGAGGGCTCTTGAAAGATACAAAGAAAGTAACACACATGAAAATATTTTATAAGACAATGGTTGTAATTTTAGTATATTAAAAAAAAAATCACCTGAAGAGAGTTAAAAATTTTAGAT